GCCTCAATCGAGCCACTCTAAACGACCCTCCTCCTAGCGACCCACACCCAACGGAATTGAAATCTGCAGACTCTGATCCTCACGTCGGGGCACCGTTGGCTGAACCGGAAAGTCTCTCGATAGCTCTACCGCCTGTTTCCCATGAAATAAAACATTCCGATCCGGTTTGTAAAGAGTCCACAGAGGGGACCAAACAGTCCAGTCCGTTCACAGATTACACCAATGCAATTCAGACCAAAGTCCGAAACGGCGATGGAATGGCGACAACTGAACCGGATAATTCCGCCTCTCGTTCCCCTACAACTGCTACCGCCACAGTATGTCCAGGAAAAGTTGTCATTCCCGAGGCGGTAGACTGCGACAACAAAAATGGCTCCACTCCAAGTCGCTCTCGCCTACCTGTCAGACCACCTCCTTTGGCCCTGGGGAAAAAGCCTATTCAGGGAAACCCTCTGACGAATCACTCCGGTGCTAGGTCGGATCTTACAAAATCGGAAGATTCAAAAGCAACCTTCGTTTCTGGTCCGCGTGAGCCTTCTCAAATTTCTGTTAACGATCGCAGACAAACGGTAAACCGAAAGCATTACTTCGCTCGCAATCCTCAGTCGCGTTCGAACTTTCCGCAAGACACAGCTATCGTTGTTGGCTTGTGCACAGCTTTATATCCATTTTCAGGTACGTCTGAGTTTCATGTGGGGAAGTGCGGACCGATAAAAGTTCATTTGATTTATAACGCCGCAACAGTAAAGATATATATATATATATATATGCCAAACGGCCCAGTCAAAACAGACTTTTTTTTGTGCAATCATAGACTATTAAGACCACATTCACTTAGGCAGTTAATTGTCCTGTTGTGGGCTCAAACATAAATGGGTTTACCTACGGTCGACAACTGGGCTCTCAGTCGGTATAAATTCGGCAGTTTTTGTACCGGCCTATTTCTGACAATATTCCGCACCCCTTTCGTGGGATGTGAGCGTCAGATTTTAGCAAGGTCTGGGTGGAATAACTGATTTATCCTTTCCGCCTCTTTCCTGAAGTACATTATTAAGGGAAGACAGCTGGTCGGTTTTTATCCGATGCTCGAGTTAAGCTGTTCACGTCGGAAAGGTGGCAATAATGCTAGTCTAATTTTCAGTGGGTAGAAATGACTGTTAGGCAATATCCCGGCATTTTGCTGAAGTATCCTTGTTATCTCTAGGTGAATGGGTATGAGATTTGTAGAGAGCTACTGAACAAACCAGTCGTAACACGGCATTTCTATTACGCATCCCAGGTGGTATGGGTGAACGCTGCAGGTACAGTGATCCAATTTTCAGTACGATCTTCAATGCAAGTAAACCTCAACTGGAATCCTTGGTTCTTGGGTAAGCGTTCTCTGAAGGTCCTGTTCCAAAAGGTGGATAGGTTATTTACGGGTGCCGGTGCCTGGCAGTCGCTACACTATTCAACCCTTGCTGAATCACTGTTTCGCACCCAATGATGACGGGGGGGGGGGATCTAAAAATGATCAGAAACATTAGCATCCAGAACCACCGCATGGTACAAACTGAACTGGCTAACTGCAGGATTTCGGTCAAAATTCGCTAACTTTATACGACTTTTATGCCGAGTTCTCCGGCCTCTCAGCGTCTCACAACTTCTTCCATCCCGCCTTTACAACAGCCCAATCATTGTGCACCCATCAAAGAAAAGCTGCCGCATCGAAAATGATGGAAATAATTGTACGAACCGGGACCACTTCGCACATAGCACTTTTCCGCTTATTTTTTGTCTCTGTGACGCCTTATGGAATACGGATATGCTTAGTGGCTCCGAAAAGATTTAGTAAGATTGAAAATGGACCTTCTATCAAGTTGAATAAATAATACATAAAAACTTTTGAAAATGAACCGTCAGAACTATCCCATTTTCACATTACGAAAAGTAGATTCCCCGGAAACAATTGATAACATAAATTGCAACCAACGGTTCAATGATTAAGACAGACATGCTCCACTAAGTGTACTAACTGCCCAACGCTTCCTTCACCGGGCAAAGTGTTGAAATTCTCGTAATTCGGTTCAATGGTTTCACTTCCTCCATTTTTGTATTCATTGCAGCTGATGGATTTGAATCCTGTTACTTACCTTTTGAAGAAGGGGAGAAGTTCTACACTCTCGCCCCATCGCCGACAGAAGATACAAGTGACTGGCTACGGGTACTTCGCTTCCAAACATACGAATCCGGTTACGTGCCCACGGCCTATGTGGAACAGCAACCCTATTCACAGCCGATTATCTTACCCATTGTTGCGCAGACAGATGAAGAGCAGTCTTCTCAAACCAGCAACCGAACGATTCGAGTCTCGTCCCGTCCACCTCGGTCCCCAACATCATGTGCTCGGATGGCTAAAGGCTCAAGAATGCATTCTTCTGGTTACGGACGGGTGTCCGGGACCACAAGAGACACGGAACTCTAATAAAATCTTGTGCTACATAGACGGCTCAAGTGCCAAATATCCTAAGCATATAGTCTTCCAACTGGTCCTTTTTAAAGTCCACTACGGCTTTAACGAGTCTGTCTTTCAATTACCTAGCCGGAAACCTCAGTGGCTTAACTTGTCTTGAATTGTAATTTGTACATACCTTCCCCCTATATGAGAACCCATTCTTTATTTCGATCCTCTATTCTAAAATCACGCCCCTTGTTTAGAATAATGTATGCTTTTATCCTCCAAAAAATCGAATGAATATGATCGACCGTAAAAAAGGTTATCGCCACTGGTAATCAATTGTCCTCCTCTTCAATTTGACTTTTTTCTTGCTGAATGGAACCGATCTATTCCGACCCAAATGATTGGGACTTTATGACCAAATACTTTTTCGCCTCTTTTTGAACTAGCTATGCTTGTTTCAATTTTGTAAGCGTTTTCGCTTAGATGCTTTTCTACCCTTTCTTCAAACATCCCTGTGTATCGAGCCCCATTTGTCTCCATTTTCGCACAGCGAACGAAAGCAAAATAAATCAATTGAGCATTTTACAAAGCTAGTGAATGTGAACAACAGGATAAGGGTCAATGTACAAAAGGATAGGCTACACGAGCTCTTTATTGTTTAAAAAATTCTCGCTCTTTTCATCGGAGATGTTCGATCATCTTGTAGTATATCCTTTCGTTTTAGCATTCCAGGATCGTTTCTGAGGCTGGCATAGAATGCTCTGACTTTCGGGTCAGCTTGAATCACTTCAGGGCGCCAGTCCAGAAGACGTAAGCCATTCAAACTCCGGCAACGACTTAGTGCAACATAAGCCTGTCCACATTCGAATACCTGTAGTTGGAGAATGATCAGATAATACAAAATCGGAATATGCTATTGCATAATATTTATTCAGCGTGCAGAATGAAAGCTCAATTTTACATTAACCATGAGGATCGGATGATATACTTCATTACTCTATTTCTATTCAGTCAGTCATAGCCGGTTTATTCGGGAAGATATACAACAGGGTTGTGGCATTCGTGAATACACATCGTCTTTCAGGGGCGAGCGCTCCAGTGTTTGGCGGACACATGGCTGACTATTTAGGTTTATATTTTGACTACTCATGAGTAACCACACCTGGGTTCAGCTAGTATGCATCCTCGTCTTGAGTGAACCATTTGATAGCGTGGAATTTCTCTGCAGAAATCGAGTTTACGTTTAGTCAATTGAACTTTCTGAGCTTCAGCTCGTTATGCCAACGTATTGGATGCAGATCCCATGGATTAATTCGCCGAGCTTCTTCGCTATTTTTATCGGAGACGCAACAGTGTTTTCTTTGTGGAATCAACAATGTGCAAAGGACGGAAATAAAACTCGCTGTATCCTCGAAAGAGCCCTGATTGAGTTTGCTAAGTTGAAATGTAAGTGCTCTAAACATACAGCTTAGCAGTACGCCATTGTTTCCATCACATTCGCAGGGAAGTCTCTCGTGCGGTCGATCGATGAATGCAACTTGATCTTTGACAGTGTTTCCTGCACTTGTGGTTAATGACCCAGAATATAGGTCGGCTGCGACGACCAACTCCAGTTTCACCTAATTTCCAATGTACCTAGTTCTCTCTCTCAATGTCGAATAATCTCAGACACCATCCATCGAATGTCACTCAGCGTTTTACCAGCAAGGCCAAACAATCAGGAGTTATAGGATTTGTGAAGCCAAAATCCGCTTTTTACTTAGACGCGTTCAATGTCCGCACACTATCAGATTAGTCAACAAACTGTCTTGGCTAGAACCCTTGAAACTTTCAACTTCGATGTATGCTGTGTCTCAGAAACACGCATAAGAGATCCTACCTCAATCATCTCTCTGTGTTCTCCTGATCCAACCTCACACTTCATTCTTCGTGTGTCGGGCGACTCAGTATCCGCACTCGCGGTGTCGCTGGTGTTGAGATTGTGCTAACTGTCAAGGCTGAGCGTTCGCTTCATGACTAGATTCCAGTCAGTAGCCGACTATGCGCTGTACGTCTCAACTAGTCAACAGCTGCAGAACGAAACGTCGGTGCTTATTCGTCGTATCGGTGTGTGCACCGGTCGATTGAGGTACACCGAAATCAAGGATGAGTTCTACAAGGACCTTCCTCAAGTACTCCAGAGCGCCCGATTAACGGAAATCGTAGTAGTCGCCGGAGCCTTCAGTGCTCAATTGAGATCCCTGGACGAATCAGAAAGGGTTCTTGGCGGACCACATGCAATCCCAGCCAACCGGACGTTCAACGGCGATTGCCTAATTTAGCTCTGCTCGGACCACGGATTGGCGCTATCAAGCACTAAATTCCGGTACAAGAAACAACACTGCCCCACTTGGAAACCGCCGATCTCCTCACAGCGCTAGACCCAAATCAACCAGATCGCCATCAGCTACCGCTGAAAAAGGTCGATTCAAGGCTGCCCTTCTTACTAATCCACACTTGTGGACACAGACCACGCCTTGCTACGAGCCAAATTCTCCTAACGTCTGACAAACAACCACAAAAAGTCCACCGACAACGGATACTCACGATCATCATCGTATAGCGAAATACCGTGAAGCGAACTTCGCTGATCGCTGCCAAGCCCGCAATGCAAACAAGGTTAGTGGTAAAATTTAGGGTGGACAGGGATTGGACCTACTTTGAGGGAGGGAGAAGAAGGTGAAGCACTGTGGTCAATATACAGAGTGCACAATCGGACTCTGCCCACATACCGTTTCAAGCATTCTGACCTGATAAGCAACGACAACAAGAACGCCACTGCTTTCGGCTCGCTGCCATATCCTTCAATGTCTCCAACCAACCAGTTGTGGAGTCTTTCGGACCCCAACCTGA